AAGCCCAGCGGGCTCCCCGCGCTGCATGCGGCGTTTGCAAAGCGGGACGGGCAGGGCAGAAGAGGGGATGGGGCAGAAACCCTCCCTTTGCACTTGAGAAGTTTGGGATGTGGTGCTCCGGGTCGGAGGAGCCAAAGGGTGTGTTGGTTCTGCATTTGCAAAGCTTTGTGCTACGGGCACACTTGAAACAAGGGTAAACCTCTTTATGACAGCGTGGGAGACCCGCTCCGAGCGGTGCGCAGGGTTTTTACAGCGTCCAGGTCCTGAAGGTTTTACATTTCTTGTATCTGTGCGTGCTTTGGTTGCCTGTCTCCATTTCACCTCCACCCGTTTCTCTCTTTCATACCCACTGTGGTTTTTTTAGACCCCTTGTTGCATTCACACACCCTTTAGTCTAACTGTTCTCGTTTTCCATCTTGTTGCTCTGGCTCCCTGCCACGTCCCACCCGATGAAGTTCATGAAGCAGGTACGTGCCATCACCTTCCGAATTGCTCCCTGCCATCTCCGTGGTGGTGGCGGGGGGGGGTCAAGGGGGGGGCGGGAGGAGCAGGACCCGCTTACTTTCCCCCTCTCCACCGTGAATAGCTCTGCTGCAGGCTAACACACGGGAATGGTCTCGGTGCACGGTCTGGCAGACGCCGGCGCAGGGGTAACCCAGCCTCTCAGCCGCTCCGGCCGTGCGCGGAGCTGGCCATAAAGCCCATCAGGGCAACGGCAGGAGGTTGTTCCTACGAAACTGGAAGGAGAGGGAAATTCCAGCACGCATTATTTCAGCTTATTGTTAGATTTTTCCCTCTCCAATATCTTTTTCCACGTTCCGTTTACACAGTGCAGTTGTTTTCCGACCACACCTGCCTCAAATTCCTTCCCCTCCTGGTCATTAGTGCATCCTTTACTGGGATAAAACTTTTCCCTCTGGCTTAACAGAGTTTTCAGCCTGTGTAATATCAGCCTGTGTAATGATGTGTTTCTCCTAATGTTCCTCTGCATCCTGTCTGTGGCTCTTTCCACCTAAAGAAGCTCAGGAGGAAGGTATGTGACACGACTCCTGAATTCCTGTCTTTCAGAGTAAGCTCTGGTTTGGCCAGTAAGCTATAAGATGGTAAAAGGAAACAGGAGTTAAAAATAGGCATATTAAAACAGGGTAAAACTTTCCACCATTTTGTTTTCTGTACTCTCTTCCCTCATGTTCTGCCGTGACATTGAATGTACTGGCAATGCTATGTGGTAATTGTTGCAAAAAAAAAAAAAAAAAAAGTATTAAAAGTGCTGGGAAATGTAAACCTCTTAAAAGGATGCAGATTGAAAAGCCTTCACTCCAAGACTGGTTGGGTCTTGTTGGAAGGTTTATTTTGGACCATTTGGGGTGGGTCAGGACTCTGGACGATGTGCAGATGTGCCCATGATGGGTCTGCTGCTACAGCAGCCGCAGAGGGGATTTGCCCTCCTTTCCCAGGCTGAGGTTCTTACGATAGCCTTTCCACATGCCCTTTTTTCAGCTTAAACCCTGTTGTGTAAAGCAACTGGTGATAATTTTGATGCTTAGCTTTGCAAATGATTAAATACGGCCTCCTTCTTCATGCAATGGCATTTTTAGGCTACTGTCTCACGGTAGTAAGTGCTGCTACATGCCAGCAAAAAGCCGCTGGCCTCAGGTTGTAAATCTTGCCCGGGCAAGCATCAGGGCTGTGAAACAGCATGCTGCTCCAGGCTTTACGCAGGACTGCAAGAATGTGCGTATAAGATAAATGTCACCTGATACGGCCACTTAAATCAGCTTTATGTTTTTAATATCTCAGACCGTTTGTGCCTTCACTTCCAGTAGCGCTTTTCGTACCCACGGTCATTTCATTCCCTCGCAATATGCTCTCAGGCTTTCCCTCCCCCTTCCCTTTTGTACGAGTGAAGGATTGTTCCGATGTTTCTAACGTTCTTGTCTTCCATCGCATTTTGCTCTGTGACTCTTCCCACCTGCTAAAGCTCATGAGGAAGGTATGTGCCACGACCTGCGAACTCCTCTCTTTCTGTCCGGAGGGGTAGCGCATGCAGGAATCCCGGAGGTGGCTGAAGAGGGGAGGATGCAAAACCACCCTCCGCACGCTCGCTGTCGGCTGCTGCGCTCCTGTGGGATACGCGGTGTGATAAGTAACAAGTACTAACGCTGCTTTGGGAGCGATGCCCGACGCGCAGGCTGGGCGTTGCTTCTGCCTACTCCCCAGTGCCCTGATTTCTCTAACCGGGCTATGGGTGCGGGTACCAGTTGGTACGGGGATGGTGTTCCCAAAAGCATTTCCTCTACGCCATGCCCCAGGGCGGAAGGTGGGACAGCCGTGCCCCGTGGCGATGCCACGTCCCTCGGTCACGTGCACCTCTTCCTCCTCTCCCCCCGCCGCGGCGCGGAGACGGAACGCGCGGTTGCAGCAATGTGCGCCGAGGTGGAGGGGCTTGCCTCTGAGGTCACGAGCAACCTCACGAGCAGCGTCGTACCTAGTTTTCTGCTGGGCTAAGGGTTGCATCAAGCGGCATCGTTTTGGCTGCAGCGTATTTGCAGAAAACGCCAATTCAGAGAAAAGACATAGTTGCATGCTTTTTCCACAACTATTGGCATTTTCTGGTTAATGTGCATTATGAAAACAAATGGGGTAGCAAGGTTGCATTTTGGCGTGACTTTATAACATGAATTAAAGTCCGGATCAGGTAAGACCGTCTGTGTTGTTAGCAAAATAGTAGGTCATACTCATTGAAGCATCAGCCTGCCAGCCCAAACCCCATGTACCTTTGCATCGCCCTCCGGCCCCCGTCTCTGCATGTCCAGCAGTGTCATCGGGACACTTGGTCCTGCAGGTCGGAGAGCAGTAACGTGCTCGTACTTACCTTCCCGCATCGGTGTGCGGTCCTATGCACCGGTGGTGAAATCCCGGGCGCTGAGGGAATCAATGCCGGCTCCTCTGAGCCCATTGATTTCTGCAGAGGCTGGGGTTTCTATGCACATAAATAAGAACAGGTTGTCGATGCCCTTTCTGCACATTCAAACCTAGGGGTGATGGCCTTGATTTAAATACAAGTAAATCTTTTTGTCAACCAGAGGCTACCAATGGCGGTTGATTTTTAACATTATGAATATATATGTTAGTCATCTGCACCTTTTATCTCCCAACACCCCATGTCCTTCCTCTCCGTGGTTTTCTGACTGACATCCATATGTGCCCTCTACCTCTCTTTTAATCTTATTAATGATTTTTATCCCTTTAACCCCTCCACCCTGGCTAAAAAGTGTAAGGTGTTTTTTTTTAATCATCCTCTGTTTCTCGCTCTAATTCTCTTATCTTTCTTTGCATCTCTTTCCCTGCTACTTCCCTCTTAAAGAAGTCCATGAACCAGGTATGTGACTTCTGAATTCCTCTGCGTCAATCTGAAGGGTTATTGTGTGCTGGAAATTCAGTTGCTCTTGGCAATTTCACAACTCGGTCATGTTCTGAAATGGGACAAAATGGAAACTTTTCAAACAAACAAACAAACGAACAGTAAAAAAAGGAGGAAAGTCTGGTTTGGCAGCTATTGAAAATTATTTTTTTTATTTAGTTGAAACAAAGCATTTTGTACCAACATTTTAATTTTTTTCTTCTTTCCTCTACGGAAGATTTCCAAATTTTAAAATGAAGAATTGACTTTATGGATAATGTGGGGTAATGTATATATAGTGTAATGCAAGAACAAATCTGGAATGAGAGATTATCACAAGGCAAAAAATGAAAAGGTTTTGTTCTAGAGATGTTAGTATCTGTGCAACCTTTTATGGTTGTGAAACTGTTTCCATTTTTTTAACCAAAATCTCAGCTAAATCTACATGAGTTTTGAAACATTTAAATTGAGTTGAAACTATGATTTCTGATGGAAAATTATACCAGTAACTCTAATATTATACTCAGGAATTCAAAGATGGTGGAAGAGAATAAGATAAAAATAAAATATTAATGATAAACTGTAACTTGCAGCTTTCTTACACCTTCCACAAGTAATAATTTCCTCTGCCCTGTGATGCATAATAATGAGGATAAGAGCTAACCGCTGCATGGAAAATGTAATAACATTTTTGTAAACAAATACCTCAATGTATAAGCTGTAGCAATAGCCACTGACTGGACTCTGAGCCACCCGTACACTGCGTACAGGAACGTTATGAAGTTTATTATCTGGAAAAGCAGAAGCAGAACTTGCAGCGTCCTCTAAGCTCTCTGCGAAAATTACTCTGTGCCCTTTGGAGTAGCTTTATCAAAGCAGTCACATCTCAGCAGCCGCCCATCCCAGCTATTTCACTCTGCTGTCCGCAGAGGGAGACCAGCCTCTTAGTTTAGACGAGACCAGTACTTTTGCCAGGGTTGAAGTGAGCGAGGTGAAAGCTGTCTGACTGATTTTTGCATGACTTAACACTTCAACACTCATCTGTGCGCTGCTTCTCATTTCCCTCCTGTTCTTGCCGCTTCTCTTTTCATGTCCTTCTTCTTTTTAACCATATTCATTCTTGTCTCTCATCTGCTCCTAAGGTTTTCCTGACCTTGGTTTGCACAAGTTAGAGGTCGTTGCTACCACCCCAGATGCTTTGCCTGCCTCTGTACCTCTTTCCCCTGGTATTTATTGAGCTGCGACTCACCGCTTGAGTGTTGGTCTCAAGCTTTGACACACATCTGAGCTCGAAATTTGTGCAAAACGCCAGGTATTAACGCACTCTGATTAACAATAAAGCCATACCTACAGTCTCCCCATGTTTTCTTTTCCCTCTGTAACGTAAAGCATAACAAAAAAGAAAGTTTATAAAGAAGATTTAAATATAACAAGCTTAGAAAAAAACAATTATGTCAGAGGGAGACTGTCCCAGCTTTTCCTATCACTGCGTGATTATTTGGTTTCTCTGTTATTAATGCTGTCTTTGTTTAATACATCTTCTAAGTCACAGCCTACCTGCACAAGTTCAGAGTTGTGCGATTCTTGCTCCAATTCCTTTATTTTTCTTCGCTGACACTTTCTGCCTAACCAAGCGCACGTGTGTGACATCTAAATTCCTATGTATTAATCTGAAGCCTTCCTGTACATAGGAATTTGAAGATGTTGAAGAAAACCAGAGTCATGAAGAACCAATCCATTTTTACGCTCCTCTAAACTTTATTTTCCCTATCGGAAACAAGTATAATTATTGTTTGTAACTGAAGAGTCACCTTCTAAGAAACTGAGAAGAAACATTTTAGTGCCCCTGAAAAGTTTTAGGGCTGTGACTCTGCCGCGGCCGGGGCAGAAAGCAGGTTCCCGAGCTGCAGTAACACGGGCTGCTTATCCTCACGGGTATCACCTGCCGTAGGGTATCAAGCCCTCCGTAGACACGAATATTGCCAGTCCTGCAGAGCTAAGCCTCAGGTTTGCCGGTGAAGGATCTTAGATGTCGGAGCTCCGGGTGCAAAGGCGGAGATAGGGTCAAAGCCTTTACTGCCTTGCAGTAGCTCTTGTACCCCCACGCCCGCGCCCACAGCTAAAAGGACACGTGCATGGCGGGAACACCGGTTACGCCGCACGCTTGTAAAGCTCTCTTCTTGGGTATGTTTTCTTTCAAATTTAAGGATCAGTTGCCCAGAGTTTATATACTTGCATGATTTAAACTGTTGCAATTCATCAACATTCAAACTCCTTTTACCTTTCATCTCTACAGCATCCCCTCCCTATCTACTTCACACCCCACTGTAGTTACTCTCCTCCTCCGCTCTTATTAACGCTCTGTCCCTACAACCTAATCTGCAAACGATACTCCTTCAACCCAGTCTTACCAAAGTGTGAAGTGATCCCCTCCTGAATAACTTATTTCTAATTCTTTTATCTTCCTTTCCTATGTTTTTCCCCTGACACTTCCTACTAAATGAAGCCCCCCCTCCAGGTATGTGATTTAACTTCTAAACTCCCCACTGTCTGTCTGCTGGGACAGTGTGCGTGGGAAGCGAATACGAGGTGACAGGAGATAACAAGCTATCTGTTCACGTTAGCTTGTAACTTGCATGCCTTTGGGGTCATTGATTTTTTAGTTTAATATTGTTTTTTTCTCAGTAAAGTGTAGTCAGCAGTAAGGAGGAGGAAACTTACCTGCTGCATGAAAATTTTACTAAAAAACTAGGGGAACACATATACTATTGTGAAAGAGTAGCTCAGCAAGAAGCGTCCTAGTGGAATGGGTTAAATTCTGCACTGTGATACGAGAATGAATGTTTCTTCCTATAGGAAAAGCTTCACTTCAAATCTCAGGGCAGAATTCGACCCATTGACTGTACACAGGGAATATAAATACTGTGATTATTTTTATGGCTGCTTCGCAATATAGCCAATGGTGCGTGTACAAAAAGCAAAACCTGCCCAACAAATCCGCATTGCTGATCAATTCTTGCTTTGCCGAAAAAGCAGAAGAATGAAATGTAGACCTGCACTGACTTTTGATGGACATTTTCTTCCTATGAAGTAATCCGTTTGTAACCCTACATTGCAAATGGATGCGAAGAACACCAGTAGATTCATACAGATATCCAAGTTGTCTTCAAGGAAGAAAATAGCCTGAGCCATGGATCTAGAAAGGAGAACTGAGCTTCTTTGGAAGTTAGCTGAACGTTGATGATGAGTTACAGCAGGTATTTCAGTAGGTTTCCAAACCACATGGTGCTTATTTCAAGTGACTGAAATACTGCTGTCGAAAAGGACGGATCCAACAGCGCTGTGACAGTGCTGACTATGTTCATGTGCATATTTCAAATCAGGGTAAACCTTGGTACCCTGTGCTGTCAGGTTGTGCTTTATGTCATATAACGCTAATACTTCTTCTTTTTTTAAGCACTGCGCTATTATCCTAAATCTGCCTGTCTCACCTGACTGAATTCCTTTCCTGTTCTGTGACTTCTGTTTATATGCTATTTCAAATGTAATTAATTATTTTACCTCAGGTTTACTTCTTAACTTCATCCCCTTCTCCCCTTTTCCTCTCTGCCCCTCCTCCCCTTTGGCTCAAAAGCTCTTTTGGTGTGTGAAGTAACAGGTTTCTCGTTCTCATTCTCTTATTTTCCATCGCATCTTGTTCCATGACACTTCACACCTGAAGTTCATGAGCCAGGTATGTGACATGACTTCTGATTTACTCCACCTAGCTGCAACATGAGAGCGTGTGCCCGTGTGCGTGCGTGTATGAGAGAACAGGAGTCCTGGGGTGGTAGAAGAGAACAAAACAAGAGAAACAAACATTAACCACAATGATTACTTGCAGCCCTTTTCTCCTTTAATCTCCACGCTTACTACTACTTTAACCTTACAGCATCTTTAACTCCTGACAGCCTCTCCAGATACCTTTTCTCCTTGCCTTAATTCACTAATTCCTTTATTTTTTTTCCCCTCCTTCATGCATTCCCTGGTCTCCTTCTCAGGCTTCCAAGAGTTTTAAATAGCTGTTCTTTTTTTTTTTTTTTTTTTTTCTCTCCTGTCTTTCCATCACTGCTCGTACCACGACATCAGCAGAGGAAGCCCCTGAAGAAGGTATGTGATGCACCTAAAGATTCTCACCCTTTTTCTCTTTCAGTGCTGGGGAAACGGTGTTAAAAACACTGACCTTGTTCAAGAGCAAAGAGCATGGGAGGGAAGTGGTCTCTCTGGATAGCTTTGGATGAACGTGGAGAAAAGGGCTATATGTTTGCCAAATCAAATCACCAAAAAGGTGGTTTTTCTTCTTGTTTGGTCTCCGGAGAGTCCAAGGTACCCAGCATAGAAGGGAGGAGGTGGGGACAGTTGCTTTTAGGACAACAGTGCTGGCTGTGGATTGACTACTGTGCTTCTTCTCTTTTGCTTTTATCCTTCAACCTACAGCTGATGAAGAAGGCGAATACTATGATGGTAGCTTGCTGTTGCCTTGGGACACCAAAGTCATCTTTCTAACATCTCACTTGTTTTTTTTTTCTGTATTTGCTTTTGTTCCTCACTTGATTTTAAACTCAGGAACTGGGCCAAAACATCTCTGCCGCAAAGAATCGCTCACTGTGCATATCCAGTCATGCTCGGTGGGGTCACTGTTGTATTGAGAAGCCTGTACATCCTCATTCGGATAGCAGACGGTGAAAACCAAGCTCTAGAAGCTTGCTCTGGACTTGTCTTTTAGCTAGAACCTGTTGTGTCATACCTCTCAAACCTTCCCTATCCCCCAAAAATCAGGAAAGTATCTCTTAAATGGCATGCTTGAAAATGGAGCTGAGCGCTGCATAGATGTGCCTTCCTTACCCAACCTTAGAAGGCCATGGTCTCCAGGCCTGAATCTGCAGATACTTAAACTTCTGCTCCAGCCATGCACTTAAAATTGTGCTAAACATCAAACATGTGAATAAATTTATTCAGACTGGTGGGGCAGGCCATGGGCTTAAGACAGTGTGCTCATAATACTTGGGTGACTGGGCACTGGAGCACATGGGTGGGGACAAGACCCACGTGAAAGGACCAAATCCAAGTGTATGCGGGGTCAGTTTTGCTCTTGTATGTGGGCAAGATAATTTAGGCCCCCTGGGCCAAATTCAAAAACAGTTTAAATGTACAGAAAGACTCTCATGGACTTTCACAGGTCTTTGAAGTAGCTTGGTTGTGTTCTGACTGCCTCAAGCCCTAGAACACCTGGCCAGCTGTTTTGAAAGGCAAAGCCCAACACCACCCTGTGTTTTCTTTGTTTCCTTCTTTTGTTTTGTTTTGTTTTTGTAGATTTTTTTTTTCTTGCTGTTCATTTGTTTTAATCTTCTCGCTCGCTTTTCAGGCTTTTTTTTATTTAGGGGAATATCCTGAGGATCTTTCTGAGCCCCTTTCTCTCCTTCTTTTTGTGTCTCTTTCCTTTTATTTTTAATAGCATACTGATTTATTTATTTTTTCAAGGACACATTGTGAGCTAGAGGTGTTGCTTCTGAGAAGTGGGATTAAGGGAGGGTGTTTAGGGATTTCTCAATAAAGTAAAGGCAGTTCAGATGGATTCACAGAAAGGGGGAGCACTGTGTGAATATCTCGCAGATTGGGCAGGAGAAAGCGAGGTTGTATTTGTGGTGTGTGCTCTCCTTGTGCTAACCCTTTTGGAAACCAGAAACTCAGAGACTGTCTCTCTAATCACCAGGGCAGTGAACTTGGATTTACAGTGGCTCTTGCCTTCTTTTGGCAGGGTTGTATGTGGGGGATTTTGTCACAGCCCCATGGTTCATGGGCAGAATGACCAGAATGTCAGTCAAAATCCGCCATGGGAACAGGAATTTGCTATGACAATTCCTGCTTATCAACACATTTTGGCCCAGTTCCTTGACTCAGTGTCTTGAAAGAAGGAGCATTTCAAAATAAATCACATCCCTGGGCTGCTTTTGGTGCATACAGTATGGACCATGCTGGGTCATGCACTGCAAAGGACTGATTTATTACTGTTCATTTTTTAAGAAAGGCTCCTATTTCTTTGTTATCCCCTTTTCTGGTTTTCTGGAGGTACCTTTAAATATTTTAACTACAATTTCTTATTTCAAGAACAACTAACCTTAATTTTTCTTTTTCTTTTTACAATTGTTTGTTGGTTTAATTAAGTTTAAAGTACAGAGTTGGTGGCAGGTGAAATCAAATTCACACAGTCATTGGTAAGACAGGTGTCGGTCCTGGCAACCAAGGTCAACACACAGAGTCATTTTCTCTCCACTTTCCCCCCTGCCCCCCCAAAATATTACTAACTGGCAGCTTTAAGCTAAACAGGAATGTTTCTGAAAATTGTCTGAGTATGTCACGAGGGAAGGGTATCCTGTGTGAATAACATCCCTGATAGACTGGTTAATTGTGATTACTTTTCCTCTCTCCAGATAAAAAAAACCCAGTTGAACTAATGTGGTAAGAAGCTCACTGGCTATTTGAAAATCAAAACAATTAAAAAAATAACTGGAGAAATATAGAAGGACACTGTTGGCTAATGGTATTTTTTTTCATCAGCGATTTGTGGCTTCCTTTATACAAGTGCTTTAAAACACTTTTCTGATTACATGCTGTATATTTTATTGACATTGCTCTAGCATCTAGAGGCCTCAACTGAGATATGTTTTGGTAGGCAGCGTTCTTGCAGTAAATGAGAAAAGTCTACACCCCCCTCCCCCCAAATTTCATTACTGAAATTGGTATGTGAGAGTGTGAGTGAAAGGAAAGGTTGGTTTCTGATCTCTTTTATGCATCTCTCATATCTCTCAATAACCCATTTCAGCCATTTTCTCAATTTTTTATTATCCAATATACTTGCAAATGATGTCGCCCCTAAATATTTTCCAGTATCAGTTTTTGCTACTTTTTTTTCTCATAATGTTTCATTTTATTCTATCCTACTCTGTTCCGTTTGCTATTACAAACTTCCTCCATCAGTCCCAAAACATCTAGATGCAAATAAGCATTTGAAAAAAATACAGTATAATAGCTTTCTGTACCATGATATGGATAGCAAGGCTTGTGCACCCACTCTTGAGGGAGGCTGTTTTTACTTTTACTTTACAAAGCTGTTTGTTTTTACCAGATTCAATAGGCTGTGAGCTTTTTACCTCAGTTCCTCCCACCGAACCAACACAGGGAGAGTCTTATACTGCAGAATCCAGCAGCTTCCCTGAAAGTTCAAACGTAGCGTGTGGTTATGAAAGTCAACCTGGGTCCCTGTGAGACTGGGCCAGAATAAACACATAGGTTTAATTTACTTCTGTTTGTGAGAATAACAGTGCTGAACTTACTGGCATTACACTGGAGTTAATAACTAAAGTTTAAAAGGCATAGCAGGGAGGGGAATTGATCACAAGCACAAATGTTAAGCAAGTAACTCATAAGACGGCACAGTTCTGAGAGGCAGGGAAAGGTCACTTGTTGCAGGGGAACATTTCTGACTGCCAGAGGACCCAAGTTGACAGTCCCTGTGATGGTTCAGCCTGCCTATCAGGGCATTATACCTCTCCTGGAGATGCAAAGATCATTCCCATTAATGC